ATCCTAATAAACCTAGACTATCTATACTCCAACACATGTTATTAAGATGTAATAGACAATGACAAATAAATATGTCATAAATTAGTAACATGATTAAATACATAATATTAGGGAATTCGTTGTATTACCTCGGTTACATAGATGCTCCTGATACACACTGTACACAAAAAAAAATAACACACATTTTTAGGCAACAACAAATTGATATTTACAAATGATACAAAATTCCCATGTATTTGGGACATAAAAACATTCGCAAATGTATTTAACCAAAATTTCATAAATTATATGGGCCACTATACAAAATGAAAAAAATGACCATTGTGTCATTGTATAAATAAATGTAATCCAATCATATACCAAGTTTGGAATGGAATTAAAAAATTCCAATCCAATAAATATTGTCTTATGTACGTTTTGATGCTAAGGTGTAAGAAGACAATGGTGTTTGATGCTAAGGGATGATAAAGGCTTTGCTGTTATGTTTTGTATGTTGTTGTGCACTAGTGGATAGCGATGCTGCTTAAGCAAAGTGCAGAAGGGCATTTACTTAAGATGCAACCTGGGCTTGATTGTAACTGAATTTATTCTGTTTTGCTTCCTGTAACATAAGTTTTTTGTTTTGTTTCTTGTCACAAATGCTCTTGGATTTTTTTTACCGGTTTTTTCTGTTTTTTGTAATAGAATTTGCTGTTTGATTCTTGTAATTTTCTCATTTCATTCAATAAAACAACCTTTGGACAAAAAAAAAAAAAAATTAATTTATTGTATTACATCAAATTTTTCACTTGCATCAGATTAACCTCAAATAGATCTACACCAATGGGAATTTTTTGGTATTTACCTTTATAGTCACCTATATTATTAAAATAATTTCTCATATTTAACATATTTGCCTTTACAGTCACCTATATGGGACGACAGAGATGTCTTCATGTGCTCTGTTTCATAAAGAAAGTTAAAAAATACATCTACCAAATACTATTCAACGGGATGAATCTGGAAAATGGATTCAACCGTCCACAACAATTGACACCAATGTTATCAAAATTGGACGTGGACGGGTCAAGGACTAGGTCAATAGTTTACTGGTTTAACCATCAGGTCAACTGGTTAGACTGATCATATAATAAAAAAATAGATATAATAATTATAAAATATAATAATTTAGCCAAAAAAAAAATAAAATGTGTGTAAACTAAAAAAATATGATATTGATAAAATACCATACTTCAAAACTGATAAAGCAAAAAATATTAAAAAATTATACCCAAATCACCAATATAAAATTTTGCTAGCTAGGAAAAAAAAACCACATCATGTACGAAATCTAAAAGCATATTTTATGACTCAAACTCTCAAAGCACATCAAATTAGAACCACATTAAAAATAAAACCTCAAAACACATCAAAAGTAAAAATCAGAGTCACAATAAAGTGATAAATACTATTCATATTATACTAATTTTTCCCATGTAATCAGCCATCAGGTGGTTGGCGTAAGCCATGAATGAAATGAAAGAGTGGAGCTCCCCTCTTCAGTGATCCGGAATGTCGAAGACAAGAGAGAGCTAACCATCGTATGCCTGAGAGCAAGAACACAAACACCCCGATACAAAAAGAGAAAAAAGACTATGAGGAGAAAGGAGGGGTTGAGTGGGTGATATGTTGCCGTATATGTGAGAGAGGAGAAGATCTGATCGATTTAGATTTTAGGACAAATTAGCTCAAAATGGGGCTTTTATGAGCTTCAACAGCCGAAGAAAATGAGCTTCTGTTATATAGACAGAGAGAGAGAGATCTAATCTGGGAGAGAGAGTACAGTGGTCCACACTAGTGCAACCCAAACCAAGCTATTATAATATTCTACACAGACAAATCACGATCACAAACATACAACAACATACACCAAGACAGAGAGAGAGAAACCTGGAAATAAGCCTTGGACTTTGGCACCGTTAGTGGGGGACCAGTGGGGGATGAAGTGTGCTGGAAAGTGATGGAGTTGGATTAGCAAAAAAGACTGTTTAAGGGTGTTTATGTAATTTTACATATATCCCCTTCACTACATTTTGAATCTCTCCATTCACATGGGTTGAGATAATCCTACGTTGGGTGGGATAGATTATCTCTTCTGCAACACTACGCCGATTTCTTGAATCCCACCGAGGAGCCCATTCCAACTTGTTCAACCAAACCAAGGATAAGTGGGTTCATTCACTTTTTTAATCCAATCCCCCTTGCAATCCCCCAAATCTTTTGATCCAAACACCACCATAGTCAGCAAGAATTAGACAACTTTTGCTACCAATTTGAATTAACCATTTTAGGGTAAGATTATAGTATAAGAGAGATTATCAAAAGTTACACTTTTTTGGAATAAGTTATACCAAGTGAGTTAGAGGTCAAGTTACCATAAAATATTAGAATCTTACTATCAATTTCCAATATTAGAATTGATCCTAAATAACCCCATTTATTTTATGTCTTTTAAAATTGAGTTGCACATCGCCATTATTTAATAATAAATTTAATACAATATCAAAAAATAACTTGCTCAACTTACTCAATTCAGTATCCTTAATAAACGGGTTATCCATAGCACCCAAAAGTCTAATTATTGTCTAATAAAAAAGTAACACATGTAGATTTTTTTCATTTATTTTATCATTAATGTCATAAATTCAAGAAACAAACCATAAATTTTGATATGATATTGAAAATTTAAGTTTATATTAGCATTTGATGAAAAATTTTGTGATGAGTCCCATCATCCAACAAAAGTGGCTACATAAACTTAAAAAGTAGATTTGATAATCTCAACTGTTGATTTTACCGTGGCTTTCAGCATTTTATTGAGACTCATTACCTATTCAATGGTTGAGATTATCAACTCTAATTTTTAAGTTCATGTAGCATTCCTCAACTAAATATAGTCTACAAGTATCTCTATCTTTTCTCGTTAAATATTGATGAACCCCCAAAGGCAACGAGACTCACGGTATGAACACTTTTGCTCCGTACTCCACACACACACACCCTCTTACAATTTTATTTTTTTTAGTTTTATACCCTTGTCTGTTTGGTTTATTAGGTATCAAAATGACTTCTCCCTACTCGACGTTAGGGTCTTTCTAACCTCATGTTGATTTTGCAACTCATGAATTGAATGAAAATTAAAGACTAAGGATGCACTTCAACGGATTTTAGTGATTCTATGGATTTTATCCGTACACCTTGTAAGACCATCTCTAATTCTTACATTTTTAAAAAAATGGTAAAAAACTCTAATAAATATGAAGAAAAATCTTTTTTCGAAACCCAAATCAAGGAAGACCCTTTTTTTAAACTAAAATCTTTAATTATGAGATTACACTCTCTTTTAAAAATTCAATAGTCATATTTTATACTATTTTAAATTTGAATTTCTCCTCATTTAAAATTAAGTTTATCTTCTTTTAAAAAAAAATTTGTCTATTTCAGAGGATTATACCAAATCAATTTTTTTAATTTTTTTACTTAAATTTAAGTAAATATTTGGATTCCCATTAGATATCTCGACACTAATATAATCCTTTCTGGCTCCAACAGACCAGCACGCAACTGTGGGATTATAAGAAATAGAACTCGTGGAACGCGAGGAACACGCATATATGCATTTTTTTTTCCCGCACGTGCGCATATATGCATTGCCATCTTATAACTCCCTAACCATATTTTTCCCATTGTCAGACACACTGTAAGAACCCCATCAACTTACAAAATCTGTGTGTGTGTGTGTGTGTGAGAGAGAGAGAGAGGTTCATATTCCAATCCATTTTTTTACCATGGATGAGGGTTTGTCAGTGCAAGAAAGAGAAGAGAGAAAAGATAAGAGCCTAACATGGGGTGTGTTGGGTCAAGAAATGAAGAGGTTATGCTACATAGCTGGGCCTATGTTTGCTGTGATGTTATCAGAGTATGTGTTGCAAGTAATATCGTTGACGATGGTTGGTCACCTGGGTGAACTTTATCTTTCTAGCTCAGCCATAGCTCTCTCTCTTTGTGGTGTCACCGGTCTCAGTTTCTTGGTTAGTATCCTCCTCCTTTTTTCCTTGCCCGAGACTTCTTGATTACTATAATTGGGCTATTAAAGAACAGATTACTATCATTGGGCAAGTTACATTTTGGCCCATTCAACTGTGGCATCTATATGATCACCATTTGAAATGTTGAATTTCATGCGTTGTCTTCTTAACTACAGCATTTTCTGTCTTCTTAACTACGTTAGCTGATTTCAACAACTTGAATTGATCTAAATATTCCTAAATGCAAACATCCATAATCCTTTGGATGGGAAATGCCCATGTATTGGGGAAAAATGAAACAAAGCTCATAGTTCTATGTGAAAATGAGCTAACTTACTTTACATTTGTTATAGACTGACCTAGTTGAAGGTGCAAATAATAGTTCAGAGGATAATGTGGGAAAAAGATCATAACATGAAATAAGAGCTTACAGTGATAGACTTAAAATAGGATAGTTACAATGGTGAAGTGAAATATTAGGGCAAATATTCATAGTGAAAATACATACACTCTGGAATTGTATATAAGGCAATATGTGCAGCTGCCCCTGACTTGGCTGGAAAAGAAGAAAGCATCACTGCACATGGTACAACCCTCTAGCAATTGGTATCTTTATTTCAGAGGCACTCATCTTAATTACTTGTGGTAGTGGGCAGTTTCATATATTTTTATAATTATTCCGCTTTTAAAAATCATTTCATGTTGTTTGCTCGCAACCTTAGAGGGATTATGCACGAAGGATGGCTTTGTTATTAGTAGAACAGAAATTTTTGTGGCATATTTTCCGAAAATGACCAATCAACTAACAAACGCATGCACACGCTTAGAGATTTTAAGAAATAAAGTGGCTATTCGAGTAGGTGATTGAATGGAGTGGAGTATTGAACTTTCCTTGAAACTTATTAGATTATGAACCATTCAAAACAGGCAGGAATGTCTGGTGCACTGGAAACTCTCTCTGGGCAGGCTTATGGAGCTCAGCAATACGAAAAAATTGGAACTCAGACTTACACGGCTATTTTCTCTCTCATCATTATTTGTATCCCCCTCTCAATCTTGTGGATGTATATGGGTAGAATACTCATTTTGATACACCAAGATCCTTTGATTTCACATGAAGCTGGAAAGTTCACAATTTGGCTTATACCTGCTCTCTTCTCTTATGCAACTATCCAACCACTTATTCGATACTTTCAAATACAAAGTGTGGTCATTCCCATGCTCATAAGTGCATGTGCTACTCTTTGTTTACACATACCTCTTTGTTGGGTACTAGTGTTTAAGTCTGGATTAGGTAACGTTGGTGCAGCATTGGCTACTGATATTTCAATGTGGTTGAATGTGATCATGCTTGGTTTATACATGAAGTACTCTTCCACCTGTGAAAAAACCCGTGTCCCAATTTCAATGGATGTGTTCAAAGGAATTGGAGAGTTCTTCCGCTTTGCCATTCCTTCTGCTGTTATGCTTTGGTAATCTCTCTCTCTCTCTCTCTCTCTCTCTCTCTCTATGTGCGTGCGTGTGTGTTTTTTAAAACATTTGTGAGGAATGTTTGCCAAGTACCGTTATTATTTACTTGTTTTCACATGTTGATGACTGCAGCCTTGAATGGTGGTCATTTGAGCTAATTATCTTGCTGTCAGGACTTTTGTCAAATCCAAAGCTTGAGACTTCAGTACTGTCTGTATGGTATGTTCTGTCAGCATCTGAAATTCTCAATGCCTCGGTTATCTTTAATCTTAATGATAACATTTTGGATTCTGTATTTTGGTATTAAGATAATAATTATCATCTCTTGTGCACTTTGTAAACAGCCTCAACACCATTAGCACACTCTATTGCATAGCATACGGACTTGGTTCTGCTGTAAGGTTTGCTCAAAATTCGATGCACTGTTTAGACATGTGCACTGCAGTAAGTAATCTATGCTGTGTGCATACCATTTTGTATATTGTACTTATAATGTCTTTGAAATGGTTTTAAATTTTTCAGCACTAGAGTTTCGAATGAATTAGGAGCTGGGAATCCAAGGGGGGCTCGTGTAGCTGTGTTTGGGGTGATTCTCCTTGCTATCATACAAACAGCAATAGTTAGTGCAATCCTCTTTGCGTCCCGCCATGTTTTCGGCTACATGTTCAGCAATGTGAAGGAAGTTGTGCATTATGTCACAACCATGGTTCCTCTGCTTTGTCTGTCTGTTGCAATGAATAGTCTACAAGCAGTCCTTTCAGGTTAGATTTTTTTTCCCTATTACTCCGGTCTATCTTAAGAAGATGAAATTGTATTTAATCATTCGACGTTTCTTTTATCTGGATCAGGAGTTGCCAGGGGATGTGGATGGCAGAATATAGGAGCTTATATCAATCTTGCAGCATTTTACGTTTTTGGAATTCCTATTTCTGTGGCATTGGGTTTCTGGGTGCATTTACGAGGAAAAGGCCTTTGGATTGGAATCCAAGCTGGTGTTATTCTACAATCAATTCTGTTCTCTGTAATAACAATTCGTACAAATTGGGAAAAACAGGTTCAACCTCATCCTTTTTTTTTTTTGAACTAAACTGAAATTGTTTTGTTGTTGTTTGGCTTTATGCACGTGGATCTGCCTCTCATCTGAGATCTATTTATTGCGTTAACACATCCTCTTACTAAAGAAATACGACCGATGTTACAAACAGATGTGACATGATCGACAGAGGTTCCCTAAATCCAAGAATAACAATGAGAAAATTTTGGAGTCCGCGAGTGAAATTTTAAGGCTCGGGAACTTCCAATTTCTCTTTTTTTATTTTTCCCTTCCTGCTTCAGCAACAGAATGGAGAACTAATAAAAGAGGATTTTGATATGTTATTGTGATCATTGGATTGAAAACCTAAAGTAACAATCAATCACAAGCCTTACATCTTAACAGGATTTCGAAAGTGTGTTGTTCATACTCAAACCACTCTAATGGTAATTTTTTTAATATTGCAGGCAAAGCTGGCAAGAGAAAGATTGCTTGAGGAAATATCTTCAGCTGCTAATGGATTAATGTGAATTGAGATGAAGCCATGGAGCAGTTGTAAACCTTTACCCAATTATGAAATAAGATCAGAACTCATGTTTCACTCTTTCTGGCACAAAATTTTCTGTAAAATTGCATTTACATGTTGCATTTAAATACATTTTTCTTTAACTCGAAACGATAGTTTAATGGGTAACAAGAATGAGTTGTAAATTCAGACGTCTTTAAATTTGAATATTTGCAATCCATTGGGTTAAGTAACGGAAAATTTATCTCTCGTGAATACCCTAATCTCAATGTAGATGATTTAGTCGGTCCTGACCGATGAAAAAAAAAATGCTTTTGACAGTAGTTGCATGGGGGAGAACCATTACACCTCCTTTTAGCTAGCAAGATACAAAAAAAAAAACACATTCATCACCATGGCTTAAGAAAGGGTGTCGTGTATTAAGGGTGTAGACAAGTGCCAATCCAAAATATTTTTAAAACAGTTAAAAAAATCACAGACAAGCCCCATAAAATCACCCAATTTTAATTTAAGTGCGATCTAAATTTGAATCCGATTATTGGAGATTGAATGATTTTTTGGCCGATCATTTGAATTCAAATCAGTCATATTATGCCTCAAGATGGGTTAGATTTACAAATATCCGATTTGATTTAAATTTATAAAAATATATAAATAGATTTTGAAACTCAGTGAATATTTTGATGAAATTGAGTTAAAATTTAGGTGTAATTGCATAAAATATATGGATCGAATATCCATATTTTTACAAAATTAGATGTGAACAGTGAAAATAAAATCTATATACTAAAATAACTAGATTTCCTTATCTTTAATTTTTTGCAGCTCAAATTACTTGATGATTATTGATCCGACAATCTTAATTGGACTTTCATTCTTTTTAAATTCTAAGACTTTCATCTCTCATGTAACTCTCTCTCTCTCATATCTCTTATATATATATATATATATAATAAAACAGTTAAACGTTTGAAATTTTATCACACACATATTTTCTCTCCCAAAATCATTCTATCACTTATTTATATCACATGTTTAATTATTTAATATTTGATTAATTTGTAGTTTAACTTAATTTTTATTCAAACATTATCCATATACGATAGTATACATATGTTGAAAAAATTTGTCGGATTACGTATTTTTGTCGATATTTTTTAAAAAATAATGGGTAAAAATATATTTTAAAAGATGTAATCAAATAAATTAAGGAAATGAAAATTCTTATTTACTATAGTGGGATCGATTTTTTAAATGCTCGAATTTTATGTTTTATCGTGCCTTCAGACATGAGTTATGACTAGTTCATAAATAAGCGAATTGAATTCAGATCAAAATTTTCAATTAGGATTAGGTCTGTTAAAATCCGACACGTCACAATTAACTAACACGAATCGACACGAATTAGTCGAGTTTGAATGAGATCTTTAATGAGCTCAAATTTGACTGGACTAAGCCCAATTTAAATAAACCAATAAAGCCCAAAGAAGAGCCCAATTGAACCTGGGTCGACCATCAGGAGGAAATTCAAAAGGACATTAAGAGGTCAGCCCCAAGAGGCCAACGTCTAAGAGGTCAACGCCCAAGAGGCAGATGTCCAAGAAGTGAACGTCAAAGAGGCGGACGTCCAAAAAGCTAACGTCCAAGAGACGATCGCTCAAGAGGTCAACGCACAAGAGACCAACGTCCAAGAGGTGAACGTTTAAAAGGCGAGCGCGCAAGAGGCCAATGCTCAAGAGGCCAACGCCCAGAGCACCAAAAGCCAACGCCCAAGCACTTGGGGTGCCACCAAGGGGTTCACCCAAGTCAGGTGCTGTAACACCCTGATTTTTCGGACCCATTACTTGATTAAATCAATCGATCGGTAATAAACTATAAATAAATCTCTGAGTATAGGGTCAAAGCTCTAATTGCCTTACTAAATTTTATAATCACAATTTTTGATCCCCAAATACCAATAAAATAATCTCCTCAATATAAATACGAAGTTGTTCAAATTATACATCACCCCAATAAACCCACAAAAGTTAAAAATTATATCAAGATTCGTTTGTCTTCGATTCTTCAAATATTAACTCTAGTCCTTCCCTCAGAGATAATCCTAAAAAATATTAAAGGCGGGGAAGTATACAATATGACAGAAAACAATATACTCAACGAGAAAAGAATATAAATGATCAAATACTAAATAATTCAATCGATAGACAATCATAGATAAAAGAATCAAGAATTCAATTCGATAAATCACATAGCTCAATATCTATCAAACTTAGCCTCATACTCGGGTTCTCTTAGTAACATGACAAGTGACACATGAGTATTTAAAATTCATATTTATATCGAACCATTACACCCCTCAGGACTGTAATCACAATAGCACCCCGTAGGGCTATAATCACATTTCACAATTATGCCCCAAGTATACTTCGTACATGTACCAATCAATCCAAAGTATATAACCCAACGTATACGTACAAGTCAACCGATAATATTGATAGAATTTCATATAAATCAGAATAATCAATATAAATACAAAATTTCAGATAATAAAATGATACTATTTGCAAAGAGATATAAAAGACAGAAGCATATTGTATACTACCTCGTACCTTAAATCTATCAATGACTTCAATAGATGCAATATTTGAAATACCCCGAATCAAATAGTCAAATTTGATAGCAATCTAAAATAAAATCACTGTTCAATTTTTTGACCCCAAAATCTCATAAATTTTTTTCTTTTATTCCATCTGTCTCTCTCTTTCTCTCACTCTCCTTCTCCTTCTTCTCTTCCCTTCTCTCTCTCTCTTTTTCCTTCTGTGATGTGTCGTTCAAATAGCTTGGACTTGGCAATTTATAGTCAATTCTTGCTTGGTCTCCAAGCATCTTATGAACACTTGTCCATGTTATTATTTTTTTTTCTTTTTGCACGTTTTCAAATCTTGTAAAAATCTAGAATAGGATCTTTCACACACACACATATATATTATATGATTACAATATTTGACCTAAGTTATAGTCATTTGACTTGTTTGCACATAAGAATTCATATTTGAAATTTTTTAAAAATCACCCTTAATTATATGGAATCATAAGTGATGACCTAATTATTGTTTTAGTGATTATTTTATATACGGGTTGTCACTGGCGCCGCCCAAGGCTGCCCCCTGATCCTCCTACATCCTCTTGACTCCAATGCAAGGTCAAGCCTACTCCTATTCAAGTTCAAGGACAACATCAAGCCCAGTCCATCTTAGAATCATTCTCCGACAAAATAGGGACACGAGCGAGAGAATATCAGGATACGTAGATCTAATCCTACTAAAATTGTACTTACCAAAATTGTAGAAGACTTCTCCACTTCTCCCTCACGTCACTGCCTCACCACCTCATTAAGCCTAAATATGTAAGCCCTTTTCACATAGAGGGCATCTTCATATGACCTTGAGACCCTACACCCATCACTCATCTCTCTCTCTCTCTCTCTCTCTCTCTTCTCTCTCTCTATCTCTCTCTCTCTCTCAAAAGCATTGTAATACTCCCGGAGTTACTCTCCCGGTGACATGATTCATCAATAAAGATCTCCGACCACAACTGCCGTTCCCGAAAGTAGGTCATCCCGGACCGAACTACTATAAATTCTGTGTTAATTCTTTATTTATGGATTTATCATTAATTGCTTGTTTATTACTCATTGACTACACCTTTATAAATCCTCAATTGTTGACCTTGCACAATACTAATTTGTGCTTCATCAATCTTAACGGGTTTGGGTAGTAAACGAGTTGACTCATCAAACACGTTTAATAAATAGTTTTCGTGTTCGGGTGAAACTTGTCAAACCGTTTATTACACGTTTACCCATTAAATAAATTAATATAATAATTAATTAATAATTATTTAAAAAATTAGCCAAAAAAAATAAAAAAAATTAATAAAAAAAAAAGTAAAATAGTAGTTAAAAGACAAAGGAAGGGAGATGAGGAAGTTAATGATAACAAAAAAACAACCAATCTCTTTTATTTTTGTCCCACACTGGTAAATGAGTGGAGATGGAGAGGGTTGTCTTGCCTATAAAAGGCAGTGGTCTCTTGCCTTCTTTTTTAGCTTTCAAGTTTGATTTTTATGTAAAATTTGGTTAGAAATTCCTCTTTTTTGAAGTAAATACAATTGACAGTAAAAAAGTGATGTATTAAAATTTGTTGATATAATTTATATAATTTTTTTTTTTAAACTAAATGGGTTAAAACGAGTCGTGTCGTGTTACCTATTTATTAAACGAATCGTGTTATCCGTTTATTAAACATGTCGTATTCATTATTTTTTACTCGTTTATTAAACGTATCGTATACGAATTTACATATTTTTCATCATCATCACCCGTTTAATCTGACATATAACCGTTTAACTTGATACATTTGACACCTTTAATTAGGATTCTGAATCGGGTCACTATAAATTCGATCCACAGCCTAAGCACGTCACCTATTTAATTTGATATGTAGCCGTTTAACCTGATATGTTTCACACTCCTAATTATAATTCTGAATCGGGTCACTATAAACTCGACCCACAGCCCAGGCGCCACCAATCCAAGGCTCCAAAACAATGTCCTAGTGGGACCGGTGATCATCGGCATCGCATAACAAAACCTCGACACTAATAAGTGACGAGGCCGTCTCTGGACGAATTGAGAGAGAGGGAGAGAGAGAGATGGGGAAAGCAGCCAGAGAGCAGCTGAGTCGAACCCTTAATGAGCACCTGAACACTACCCATGAGACCTTTCAGGTTCAACCCTTTGCACAGTTCAGATTACCATATATATGTATGTATGCAAAATTCTTTTATTAGGGACTGATTGATGTGAAATTGTTGGTATGTGCGTGTAGTTGTTGGATCAAACACCAGCTTCATCTCTTGATAAAGTCAGCTGGAATGAGGTTATTAAAATTGGCGAACAAGTTTCCAACAAGCTACTCTAGGTACTCTCTCTCTCTCTCTCTC